TTGAATTGCACGAAACGCATAACCGCACCGGCTAGTCTGGTACGCGTTGCTATTTATTACCAATTACTGCCGGCTGTTTGACTCACTTTCTGCTTCTCTTCGTATTTTTGATTGCATCCTCACAGCAAAAAAGAGTCATTTTTTTGTTTCGCCCTGCACGCGCCTCGGCGCCCTTGTGTCGTCTCGGTCCTTTTCCCCTTTCTTGCGGTAAATTAACGCTAATAATGTGCATCATTGAGCATCGATATCTTGCAGTAGTTTTATTTCTCTGTGATGGTTAAGAATATATTTCATCCCGAAAATCGCGGAAAGTGGGGTTTTGTTTTGCTCAGATTTCGTTGTTTGTGGTCATCGTGATATCATATATTTGCAAACTGTAAAGTTTTTGCGAAAAAGAAAAAAAGTCCGAGATTATAAAAGTCGTAGCAATGTTTGGTGTGTTTTTCCTTTAATCCTTTAGACCGCGTGGTATTACCTTTCCACTGCCGATCCGTAATTAGCGAGGGAAACAGTGAAGCTGTAAGAAAAGTGCCGCCTGATTAGCTGTCAATGCCCTCCGAGGCTTTTTAAAAAGCAGGGACGTTTAGATTCCTGTTCAGTTCATACAAGTACTGGAAAAAATCGGTCTGTCTATGTTTTGGCAGGTGAAAGACGCGGTTGTCGGCGAAGCGCAACGATGGCAGATAATGAAGCATTGCGAGTGGTACTTAGTGCACTCTACCACATGATCGAGTCGATAAGACGCAAGGATTTGTTTGATATTGTTGTGTCTGCTGACAAGAGAGCGCGATACGCTCAACTGAGGGAGGATTTCATCTCAGAAGTTGGTGAGTAGTTGATTTTTGATTTTTGAAAACACAACAGTTTCTTGTTATCCAGACGGACTGCATTAGAAAGGTACTTTTTAAATAATAATATCTGTGAAAGCTGGGTGGGACATTTCGATCTTTTAAGTTGTCTATGCGTTTGCAGAAGAAACGATCGAGGATAGCGATATGCCTCTCATAAAGGTTTTGTTAGAAATGATGCCGATGTTTTGCCACGGAAGGAGCCCTCATTTTCCTATGAAAAAAGTAATTTTCTTCAAACAAATTTGACTAAAAATTTGATTAAAAAGAACTCATCTCACACGATATTCAACCTCCAGGTGCTTTTGCTGATCTGGAAGACACTTCTCACATTGTTGGGGGGACAGAAGGAGCTGCTCGAGGAGAAGAATGCAAAAAGAGCTGCGGCAGGCTTGAGTCCAGTGGAGGATACTCTTGTTATTGCAAGCACGATGAAGGCCTCCTCGATAAATGGCAATGATGCGTTCGATCAAAGCCAAGGTCTCTCTTTGTCACTTTACAATCAGTAGCTCGTTTTGGGATCAGTTTCAAGCTATAAACTGTGAAGAATTTGATGCAATTTTCCGGCGTTTATGATTCGTTCGTTTCTGTCTTTAGGAGTTGTGCGACCAAAACGAACACTGCATCCTTCGGCTCGACTTATTTTTCGCCAGCTTGCTTGCTCCGATTCTGTTGAAGGTCCCGTTTCTTCCAGTATTTTGAGATACCGTTGGTATTTCTCTTTAAATGTCTCTCTTTTGTTTTAGATAAAAGTGATGGATCAAGTAAAACTGGAATTGTTGCTGCAAATATTGACCGGCTGGAACCCGATTTAGGCCTGTCAGATCAGGAAAAGCATGTCAGTGAAAGCATCGCCGTCGATGTGGATGATATCACAAAGAAGTTGATGCTTGATGAGTGTCCCAGATTTTCCGGTAAATACCTTTTGCTTGCGGCTTTTTATACGTTTTCGCTGTGCTATAGCGCAAGTTATCGAGAGGTTGGAATATGTGCGTGTGCTGTGTCGCCCACCTTCAGCTCGAGAATAGACGGAGCTTGGAAACTTTTGGACCCGGATAGAAACACACATGCCACTGGTCGTTTTTATGCGTTTTCTGCATCTATGCAATCCAAAAACGCATACTATCGAGGGGTTGTGTGTGTGTGTGTGTGTGTGTGTGTGTGTGTGTGTGTGCGTATGTGTGTACGTATGTGTGTGTGTCCGGTTGCACCGCCGCCGGCAGTTCCTTGACCGGCCGCATGGGCCGCGGTAGACTTCGCCGTTCACAGCATCATCCGCGCATCAAGTCAGCCACACCGGCAGTCGCTGATCTGATCGTCACACCAGCGACGGGATTGGGGGGGGAGGGGGGGAGGGCTGGCCAACTGCACAAACGACGTCAGACCCCATAGAGTATGTGCCTCTCTACCGATTTTTCATCTCGAGACCTATAAAAGCTACAAGGCTGAAACTTTGCG